TTCCAATGAGACGATGTTGCTGTTAAGTGTCATCCAATATGTTCTGACTCATGGCCACTCTGTACAGGATCTCTGAGGAGCAGCTGGTGAGTTTGAACTACCAATCTTGTGGTTAGCAGTCCAGTGCTTGTCCTACAGTGCCACACCAGGACTATACAAAAGCAATATATTTATCTATTTCATTTTTGGGCTCCCATGGAAATATTTCACTGGGTAGCAAAGAGCCATGACCGTCAATCCTAACAGTTTGAGAGCCAGCACCAATGCCACCTTCCTCCACTAAGTCTGCCATGATTTACTTGCAGATAAGCCACCTACCGCCCCGTCTTTTATGTTCTACTCATTCAAGGGGAAGTTGTCATTCTACCTTTAATCAGTGAACAAATACCTGCATTCATTTATGGTTTCCTTCTGGATTTTACATTCCTGTAGGATAGGATGTGGGTGGTTATTGTTAAGTGCCATGGAATTGGTTCCAACTCATAGAGGCCCTGTATAGGGTTCCCGAGAACAGGCTGGTGAGTTTGAACTGCTAAACTTGTGGTTCAAACAGATATGGGTAGGACAACCCTAAGCTCTACATTGTTGTTGTTAAATGCCTTCAAGTCAGTTTCTACTCATAGCAACTCCACAGGGTTGAGTGTTTTGAAAGACTGCCAGGTTTTTTTCCCGAGGTGCCTTTGAATGGACTTGAACCTCCAACCTCTTGGTCAGCGATGAAAGTGCTAACTGTTTGCATCACACAGGGATTCCTCTCTCTCTATGCAGTTACCAATGCTAGGTCCTTCATGTGAGATCCTAAGAATACTTGTCCTTTTGGGTGTGTCTTATTGACTCAGCATAAGACAAATCAGAATGCCATTTCTTTATATGTCTGAAGAATATTGCCTTGCATGTATATATTCCAATCTGTTGATCCATTCTTCTGTTGGGTTATTTCTACCTATTGACTTTTGTGAATAACTTACAGTAATGGTTGGTGTTTGAAGTAGACTTTTAAACCTCATTTTAATTACTAGAAAACTGAGGTCCAAAGTAGCTTTGCTGAGGCCTTACAGCCTGTAAAAATAAGGATAGATTGGGTTCGAAGCAAGCTCTTCTGGACTGTACCTTATTAGCTCTGCCACTACACCATTCTGCCTCATAGAAATCACATAGCTCTACCTCTAACTCAACAAATACAATATATAGATGAGCAAGAAGCATGCTGACACAACAACTAGATGAGATCTTCCAATTCAATGTGTTGTTGTTGTTGTTAAGTGCTGTCGAGTTGGTTCTGACCCATAGCAAGCCTGTACAGAGTTTCTAAGGAGCAGCTGGTAAGCTTGAACAGCCAACCTTGCAGTTGAAATCAACTTTGCAGTCCAGTGCATCAATCTACAACACCACACCAGGTCTCCTTCACTAACTTGTTGTTGTGTTGTTAGGTGTCATCGAGTAGGTACTGACTTATAGCAACCTTATGCACAGCAGATCGAAACACTGTCTGATCCTGGGTCAACCTCACTACTGTTGCCACACTTGAGTCCATCAATGCTGCCACTTGGCTAATCCATCTCATTGGGGGTCTTCCTCTTTTTCTCTGAACCTCCACCTTACCAAACATGATAACCTTCTCAAGCAACTGGTCCCTCCTAACAATATGTCTGAAGTATGAGAGATGAAGTTTAGCCATCTTGGCCTCCAAGGAGCACTCTGGCTGCACTTCTTTCAAAACAGATCTATTGGTTCTTTTGGCAGCCCATGGCCTTTCAGTATTCCTCTCCAACACCATAACTCAAAAGCATCAATTCTTCTATGGTCTTCCTTACTCACTGTCCAGCTTTTCGCATGCATATGAGGTTATTGAAAATACCATGGCTTCGGTCAGGCGCACTTTAGTCCTCAAGCTGACATCTTTGCTCTTCAACACTTTAAAAAGGTCTTGTGCAGCAGATTTGCCTAATGCAATATGTTGTTCGTTTTCTTGACTGCTGCTTCCATTAAGTGTTGATAGTGGATTCAAGAAGAATGAAGTCCTTGACAACTTCAATCTTTTCTCCGTTGATAAGAATGCTGTTTATTGGTCCAGTGGTGAGGATTTTTGTTTTCT